GTAGTTTGGTTGTAAATTTAAATTTGTAGTTTGGTTGTAAATTTAAATAGCTTGTTTGACCTGGTTGTAAAAGAATTTATTGTTGGGGTTGGCCAGGGTTGTCCAATTTAAAATTACAAAATTGCCCCCAAAGAAACTGGAAACTCTCCAAAAAAACAAGAAAAATAGCTTCTAGGCCCCAAATTTATATTTTCAATATGCTCTAGCCCCTCCTACTTTTTTTAATGTTCTTTAGCCCCTCCTTTTTGAAAAAAATATGGCCAAGCCCCTCCATCATGATTCCAGCTCATTTCAACACTTGATTAGACATGCCAGCTCATGATTAGACATATCAGCTGATTTAAATCCCGAATTTACCATCCTCTTTCTTATGTCAGTGGATGTTAACTCTTTTCTGTAAAATGTTAACTCTTTTCTATAACATGTTAACTCTTTTCGGTAACATGTTAACTCTTTTCTGTAAAATGTTAACTCTTTTCTGTAACATGTTAACTCTTTTCTGTAAAATGTTAACTTTTTTCTGTAACATGTTAACTCTTACAGATAACATGTTAATTCTTACAGCTAACATGTTAACTCTTACAGCTAACATGTTAACTCTAACAGCTACCATGTTAACTCTTACAGCTAACATGTTAGCTGTAAGAGTTAACATGTTACAGAAAAGAGTTAACAGTTAATAGAAGAGAGTTAACATGTTACAGAAAAGAGTTAACATGTTATAGAAAAAGAGTTAACATTAATGTGCCCACGCGAAGTTCCTCGGGACGCGATGGCGACGGAGCGGGGAAGGGGCAAAGGGGGACCGAAGGAGGAGGAGGGAGGTGCATCAGGGGAGGGAGACGGGGGGGAGGCGAGGGAGGTGCAGCGTGGGAGGGAGGCGGTGAGGAGGAGGAGGGAGCTGTAGGAGGGAGGCGGGGCGGAGGCAGAGGGGGAACGGAGGAGGAGGAGGGGTGTGTAGGGGAGGGTAAAATGAGGATTGTGTATAAAATTTGCATAGGAACTTGGGGAGAGGGGCTTTTCATAATTTTTTTCAAAAAGGTGGGGCTGCAGGACATGTTTGAAAGTTGGGGGGCTAGAGCATATTGAAAATATAAATTTGGGGCATTGAAGCAATTTTTCCAAATATATATGGTTGAAGGAATTTCCCCATTCCCGAACTCCTATCTACCTCACCAATTTATTATTATTATTATAAAGAAGTGTAGATATCCAAATTAAATGCGAATGAAATAATATCTTAATAATATCTTAACCTTTTTTAATTATTGAACTTTAATCATACTTCCTTTAAAAGCACGAGTTCGGAAAAATCTATGGTCAATATTACCCTTACTTTTTTAATATTACATTATCATTCTAATCTATTTTAATTATCTTATTTTCTTTGAAATTAGTAACTAAATGATTTATTTCATTCATAATGAGACTTATGTAAATTTTACTTATTTCAATTCAGTAAAAAATCTAAAAATATATGCTAGCTAGAAATTAAAAGTTTTTTAACTTTGGAGAAAATATCTTATAAGCTATGAAAATTACAAAAATACCCCTAAAAATTCAAATTTATAAAAAACACATTGGAAATTTCAAACCTATAAACACACTAAAAACCTACAAATAACACAAACAACCCCTAAAAAATTATGTAATTTATAATAAAACACTCTAAACTTTTACGAATTGCAAAATCAAACTCTCAAAAATGTAAAATTTACAAAAATCCTGCTAATTTCTAACCTAACATTACATTAAAACTATAGGAATTACAAATATCCTCTACATAATTTATAATTTATAGAAAGCACTCTTAAATCTTCAAACATTATAAACAAACTCTTAAAATTTAAATTGTAAAAAAGCACCCTGAGAATTTTAAACTCATTAGTAAATTGAAAAGCATAGAAATTATAAATAGTCTATAAATAATTTATAATTTATAGAAAATGACTATAAGTTTAAAAATTACAAAATCCCTTAAAATTCATAATTTATAAAAAAACACCATGATAATTTCTAACCTATAGACACTAAAATGATTATGCAAAATTAGTAACAACCCTATAATTAAAATTTTATAAAAAATATCATACACCCTTTAAAAGTATAGGTTTAGGAAAAACTTTTCATGGCCAATAATATCCATAATTATTTGAAAAAACATAACTAATTAAAAATCTATTAAATTTGACATTTACAAAAAATCCCCTTAAAGTTTAGTACATTGCAAATTACCCCTCCAAAGTTTAAAATTTTTCAATGATTTTTTGTAGTTCCTTGATTTCAATGTAATGTTTAATAGTTTTTTGTATTTTTAAATTATAAAATTTTAGGGTGTTTTTTATAATTTTTAAAACTTTTAAAGAGTAAGTTGTTCTTAAAATTATTAGGCCATAGTTAAGTGTTACACATTACTTTATATATGCAAAAAATTACAGACAATCTATATAGTGGTTAAAAATATTTTCACTTTAATATACTATTTTTTATAATTATATTTAATATGAATCCACCATATAATTTTGAATGTGGTCATCATAATTTTAATGTTAGATTCACTGTATATGTATATAGACCATAAAAATTACTTTACTTTCTCACATGAGCGGTGCTTAATAATTTAAATTATTACTTTTAAATTTAATATAAAGAGGAGCTCTAATAACATTTATTTATTTACCTATAGGATAATACAATGTCAATTTATTTTTTTGCTTGAGATTTATTCCATAGTTACGCATATCAAATTAGTAACTAAAATAATAATTATTTATGGATGATTATAGTTGGTCACTCACTATAAAATTTTCATAAAGATATATACCTTACTTTTCATAGTTATCTGCACTGGCCATGTATATTTATAAATTAGTTGTTAATTTGAGATATTAAATTACTTTTTCTTTGTAGAAATTTTTTCTTTAACTTTTGAACTGTGTAATCACTATATCACCATTCTAGCGTAGAAATGACCTCACTCTAAATGGCTTCAAGCCAATGTTTGAGTTGAACTAAAGTATATACTATTACTATTGCATGTATATATTTTTTTAAGAAAATCATGTCAACACTTTTTAAACAGAAGAAAATATTCTAACTTTTGATATTATAAAAACTAAATATAGCCAATTGATTGATTAGCAAAAGAGAACTTACATCAGAAAAGCGTGAATAATAAGATAAAGAGGAAATGTAATAGTATTTACAACAGTACTACAAATAGCAAGCTACAATGTAAAGTTAACATATTTTGTGGAGCCTAACTACTAGATATAAGTATCGATGTGTCCATATAACTTTATAATTTACTAAAAAGGTTCATATAATCTTATATAATAAAATTGATTTAATACTGAATAGTAATATCGTTGTAATACTGTCGTTATTAGGGAAAATTCTTCATGAACCAATATGTTCTTTACAATAAATAAGCTATGCACTCTAAATTTTTATGTCTTTTATATAGCCAAAAAGTTTGAACACGAGCCTCTAACATGTTGCTCTCACAACAGCAAAATCCACTTAGCAGCTGTGGATATTCCAGATCAGTTATATGTCCTATATACAATACAATCGTCCTAGGTAAGTGAGTTATAATAGCATTTTTCATTCACATCGTTTGTGATAAGATTTGCTAGGGGCCTTGTATCAAAGAAAAAAATTTATATTTAGAAATTTTCATATCATAATCTCCCTGCTCTAATTTCCCAAAAAAATTATTTTTCATACTTTCAGTTTTACTTCTATGATACAGAGAATGAGATATAAAAGTGAATGAGAATATTAGATAATATAAATATGAGTGAAACCGCAACTAAAAGTTAACATGAATATGAGTCGAACCACAACTAAAAGTTTAATGGACATTGTTGATGTTAAAGTGATCACACAGTCAGTTATATCCGTGTTTGGATGAATTTGTTGAGAATTGATGAAGGGACCGCTTTCTTTCATAACTTTATATCTGGTTCTTTGAATAGAGTATCTGAAAAATCTGCACATGTAGCAACTCGCGAGAGGGTGGGGTTTGGTTCCCCTGTTGTGCCTCCGACGATCAAGTTAGCTAATGAACTTGAATGTGGTAAATAAGATATGTGGTAATTCTTGTGGATGTGCGGTATGATTAAGTGATCACACAGACATATTATAAGTAAATTCATATGCAAAATTCCTTTGCGAATTGAATGATCACTCATCTTTTGAAGACTTTAAGATACTAATAAATAGAGATATTGTACTAGATTAATATGTTAATAACTTAAAAATAGTAGATCACGTGACCACAATATTGGTTGAAGGAAACAATAGCAATATTTTACTTGAGAGAGAGATTATTGAGTTGATGATCAATCCAAAAAAAAAACTTTATTTTCCTTTTTTATTTTTACTCTATTTTTATCAATTTAAATAATCATGATATTTAACCACGTGCATTGCACGTTCATCTCAACTAGTAGAGAAAATGTGGAACTTGCTTTACAAGTTTACATTGATAATTAAAGAAATATCTAAAAGACATACATATAAGTATAACGATTAAAAACCGAAGGTTAATTTACTTTGAATAACTATTATGTAAATAGGTACGTCAAATGATAGGAAATAAGCTTTAATCGTAAAATTAACCATATTTAAACTTGTAAAGAATTTTAAAAAGCTAAGTAATTGAACACATATATCATCTTGCATTAACTATAACAACCCCAAATAAGTTTTGGTTATACACTTATACGTCATAATTTGGACAACAATATGACCATCTGGACTTTATGTCTCGAAGAAGAAATTGGAAGGGGTTATATGACAAAGCCCCATTCAGTCATGGCTTTTATTTTGTATATCCCCAAGGGAAACCGGCATCAAAATAAAAAATAATAATTAAATTAAACTGGAAAAAAAAAAAGACTTCGGATCCCTCAAAGCCCAAGTCCTCACCCTTCTTCCCATTCTATAAGTAAGCGCCAAAAGAGTTCACTCCCAAGTAACTTACAAACCTTTCTCAATATTCGACTCCAAATCAAAGAGGCAATAAAATGGTGAGCAAAAGAGATTCTTGGTCAATACTAGTCACGCTAATACTACTACAAGCGTACGGCTCACTCCTCATTGCAGCCCGAGCGCAGGTTCCCACGAACAGGACTCTACGCCTGAGCGGTTTAGTCCTCCACCACTACAAAGTTCACAATACTTGCAGATACGCCGAGGTTTTCATCAAGCATCTTGTCACCAAAGCTTGGAACAAAGACCGCTCCATCACCCCGGCGCTCCTTCGGCTCGCCTACTCTGACTGCATGGTTACGGTACGCAACTGTAGCTGTAACTGTAGTAGCTGTCATGATAATCAATTAGTAGTGACTGTACTAACGGCCATTTCGTTACGCAAAACTTCAAAGTTACGGTGAGGACTCTGAGTTATAATTTTATGTTCTAACAGAGGCGTGTTGATCGAGTATCATTTTTATGGATCGAAATATTTTTTTTTTTGGTCAATGAAAGAATTTTATTCATCCACCAAATTAATATGAAGATTGATACACATCAAGTTTGCTCAGCTTAATAACCTGAGATTACTACTACATTTTCCAAATGCAAACAGCAAAAAACAAAGACCTCTAATCACAGAGATAAGCAACCCCTGTTAAACGCCTGGCTTGTTGAGGATTGTGATCCAAATTCCAGTCTTAAAATTTAATACATATCCAACATGCTCCCACAGTAAGTGCTGTTTTGATGATCTTTTAAACCTACCATACTCAAACAGTGCTATTTTTTTCCTTAATGGTTGGGAGATTAATTTGAAATTGAATTCATCTCATATTATCTTCGACTATCATTCACAACAAAAAAAGCTTCCAAGTGACGAATAGAGTTGAGAGCCATAATGTTATATTCTATTAATACTATTTCTTTATTTTCTCTCAGGGATGTGATGCTTCGATTTTGTTGGATGGAGAGGGATCAGAGAAGGAGGCACCCCAGAATTCGGGGTTGAGGGCATTCGAACTCATCGATGGGATCAAGCGTGTGCTCGAGGTCTACTGTCCCCGTGCAGTCTCCTGTGCGGACATTCTACAACTTGCTGCTAGAGACGCGGCGGGCCTGGTATATACACCCCACCAAAGCTCAAAAACAAGATCAAGAAACGTCGAAATTTCCAAGTTTCGAACGGATCATATTGAATATCTGGCAATACATTGTGTTACTGCTAGAAATATTTTTTTGTGACACAAACTAGTCTCTTTTTATTTATTTATTTGTGTTTGGTGTTTGTTGTTGGTTTGACGCAGGCTGGTGCACCAAAGTATCCGGTGTTTACGGGTAGGCGTGATGGGTTTCGATCCAATCTGAAATTAGTAGATTTGCCTTCGCCTTCAGTTACATGGGATGAGGCGTTGGCTTACTTCAGGTCCAGAGGCCTCGATGTTCTTGATCTCGGAACTCTACTAGGTAAATATCGAAACGTATGTATATGAATGCGTGCGAGTGTGCGCGTGTGTGCACGTGCCCGCGCGTGCAGTAGTTGAGCTCATACATATTCAGTTAAGAGTAACGATAGATAGTCCTAGCTATAAAAATGGACTGCTTTTAACTTACCAAATTATTAGCAAGTGGCAAGTATAGAATTACATGTTAGTTTCTAGCATTCCTCTGCAGAACCTCTGGCTACCTGTGAAGTTAACCGCAAGTTTGTAGTACCCCTGCGCAATAGTTGAGCTCATACGTTCACTTTCCCAACTAACTTTGGGATTGTTTGGTTACAGTTTCAGACTTAAGTCGCAATTGCAATCGATCTCTCCTAAGGTGTAGAGGGAATTTAAGTTGCAACTCTAATTGCAATCAAGCTCATGGAAGTCTGAAAAACCTGTTGCCCCGGCCAAAACGAGCATGTACAATACAATTATGAACACAGTTTGCAAACTAAACCAATCAACTACAACCACAATCCACATGATAATAGCAATGACGACATCTGCAACCACATATGACTACTGACACTTGTATTGCAACTAAAGTTCTCGTGAACCTAATTAAGGGTGCTTCTACAGGGACCCGAAAATAGGACAGATAGGGGAGACATGTGAGGTGTCTCCCCTTAATTGCATAATGAGCTGACCAATATGCAATCAGAAGGGGACACCTCACGTGTCCCCCTCTATCTGTCCCATTTTCGGGTTCGTGAGGCTTTTTTCTTTTAATGATCCAGAGTTCTCATTATTCATTTTTTCCTGACTACTTAATTACAGGAGCACACACCATGGGCAAGACGCGCTGCCACTACATCCATGACCGTCTCTACAATTTCAACAACACCGGCAGGCCTGACGAGTCCATGGACCCCTCCCTCGTCACCGAGCTCAAAAAGACATGCACACCAGGCACTGCTGGCTCCAGAACCTCTAACGAGAGTACCGTCTATCTCAACCCAACCTCAGGCAGCAACAACTCATTCCAGAGCTCATACTTCGACCACGTCCTCAAGAACCGTGGCGTTCTCCGCATCGACCAGCAGATGATCACCACAATGGATGGGATCAGGATTGCTAACGAGTTTGCAAACGGGTTTGAGGACTTCAGGAGGTACTTCGCGCTGGGGATGGCGAGGCTGGGGAGTCTGGGGGTGCTTACGGGGAAGGAGGGGGAGATAAGGAACAGTTGCCGGCGGACTAATTCTGGTAAAGTGTTGAAATGAGGGGAGCTGGAAGTTTCTGTTTTGAAATTTTGGATTCGGTGATTGAGTAAGTTTTAGTGTCTTGAAGGGTTTGAATGTGATGGAGGGAGCCTGCATTTTCTTTCTTTTTATGTGGTTGTGTAATAAAAATTGGATAGATTTGTATCAAGTATGGAGGGAGCTTGAATTTTCTGACTTGCAGTAATAAAATTTGGATAGATTTGTATCAAGTTTGATGGTAAATTGTTAAAGAAGATAGTGGTCAAACTCTGGCCTTTTATTTCATTGTCAATTTAATGCTTCTGCTCAGCATTGTGAGCATATCCCGTAGCAACATGAGTTATACTTTTAATATCTGTATCTACTTGTAATTAATGGATGTGAGCATCGATAAGACAAACATAATGGGTGTGAGTAAGGGTGCCAAAAAAATATCTGTATCAGAGTATATATCTGTATCCATGTCCAATAAGGATACAGAGATCGTTACTAAATTCTGTAACCAATAGGATCTTGTTGCTGATATGATTACATAATGAAATAACCAGACCCGTGTTAGAAATATCTGAACCTATGTTGATTTTCTATTGTAAATGATTTAGTTCTTAGAATAATGGATTTGAGACTTATTTTCATGATCAAGTAATATAAGCTTAGTTTTTCAAATATAATGAACATATCGATCAACTCTCTTGTATCATACCAACTATATTTTTTAGATATTATTTGGTTTTCTCATATCCGTTTTGCATCCGCGTGCATATTTGAATATGTATCCGAATGTATATCCTCATCCATATAGAATTTTAGGGGATATAGATATGAGTTTTCCTTACCGAAACATATTTTGTATTTGTACCTGCATCCATGATTGGTAAGCAGAAAGAAATTGCTTTCTCTGGCCCGATGAAATGAAACATTTTCTTCGCTCATTCGGCTTTGATTGTGTAATAGCTTAATATTTTATAAATATCATATGTGATCTGTATTCGATCCATTTAACACCCCTAGATGTGAGTGTGGATATTGTTCGTTAAGACAAGCTCATAGTCCACATTCATCAAATTGAATACGATACAAGTCTGTTAAGAGAAAGATAAATAAATGTGTGTGTGCGTGTGTGTATATACATAAATTAAAATTTCTCAGATAAGAGCTCATCAATATGTTTTCTCATATCTTAAAAAAGCAAAAGTTATCGCCTAAGATGGTCATAGATCCATTAATCTAAGCTCAAAGCAAGTTAATTGTTTGATCAACTTATATCTAGATACTTCGATTACTAGTCCAGATCTTTTATTTACATCCGTATCTAACTAAAATAATAATATTTGTGCCCATATACATATCGTATTGAATACATAGTTTCGTATCAACCTCCAACTATCTGGAGATCTATCCACAGCCTTTTGCATTCCCTAGTTTACTCCCATGAAAAGTGAAAAGTATCAAGCACTCGCCAAGCACGTGAGCTGACGGTTATGAGCAAGAAAGAGAGCTAATACTCTACGAGCACAGATGGAAAACTTGGTCAAGTGTTTTCATTCAATTACCTTTTCAAAGATTGTTGAATTATATGCACTGTACTATATTACATTCGTATAAACACACCCTTAATAATTCTCTCTTACGCAAAAGGGGTAGGTGAAAAATACATCAAAGTTGCCAGATTGGCTTGCAATTACAATTGAATTGCAAGGAAGAAAATTGCCATAGATGGCATACAGAGGGAAAGGGGGACGAGATCTGCTTCTTCTCTTAAGCTTTAACAACCTTCAATCTGGCGCGGGAATAGATTCAGCTGTCTCCTTACTGGATGCCTTTGATTTCTGAAGATATGTTCGTGCTATATCCAACATCTGATCCACCTCTTTCTTGTACTGTATCGACAACAAGAAGCTTTCTTGAATTAAAGGGACAAAATTTAAACTCCACACAAATAATTTGATAACAACGGTGTGAATCGGGACTTTTATGAAGCTGCATAATGTGATTCAGCAGTAATGGTACTTCTTTCCTAAGCGAACATCTGATACATGGAGCATGATAGGAATCGTGGTAGATTATGAGTTGTGAACAAGCTGAGGATTGAAGTGCAGGCAACAGGAAACTTGGATTTAGTTTCTGAAGCGGTAAAAGTTTCTTTCAACTGTGTGCCAGAAGTGAACACAAACAATTTGGATACTATCACGCTAATATTACCACTAAACAAAAAGTCAGTAACTCTAAGTTATAATAGCATCGAGAGTATATCATAGAGAAACAGAAAATATCAAAATCTGCACACCTCATCAACAGCTCCAGTTTTTATCTTAGACTGCATAATGCACCATTTCTTGAAATGTGCGCCTGCAGAATTAAGTTTGATTAGATGGAAACTATGCAATAAAGCAAAAAATTAAAAAAAAAGTGATCAATGGAAACTAACGAGAACAAGTTGGAAATCGTACCAACTTTTATGTCTAGAGTACAGGAAGATTCAGAATTCGTTTTCAATGACCACCTACAATGAATCTGTAATGATATGCCAACTCAGTCATCTTAAACGAAAATTTCAAGAGTACATGGTGTAGAATTTTTTCTATACTTATCAAGTTTACTTTTTCACATTTTTTTTGAATTTTATTTGGACATATTAATTTCCCAATCCTTAGGGAAACGCATTGATCCAGATGGTTGGGAGGCTTCAATATGGCTCCTAGGGTCTTGGGTTCAATTCACATATAAAAAATATAAAAATAATTTCCCAAACCTTTCAGACTTAATGGTACCCAAAAAAAGGGACATAGACGTGATGGTAGACTAGGCAGTATTTAGGCAGCAACTGTGCAGTGGCGACTTTCCTTAAAATTTTCACCATTCAAGTATTAAGCAAAATCTAAAATGTGCGACACTAGCCTGGTAGTCCTGTCTGAATGTGCCAGATTTACAATAGTAGAGCTGCAGCCTGCAGGGGTTGTAAAATGTCCAGAAAGAAAGTACAACTACAGACTCCAAAGGCCCTACAATTTCATTAAAAAATTATGCTGTAAATTGACATCTCCTAACAAGTATATTGTGTGGATCTAGTTCATGTCTTACTTGTAAGTCAGAGTCCATGTGAATTGAATGGCAAACTAGGCAACATCGTAGAGTCATCTAATTATGAAATAAGAAGAAAAATCTAACCAGTAAATACCTCAAAGTAAGAACCAAATGGAACATCATGTGCTTGCTGGACTGTCTCGAATACCTGAATACGAAAATGTCAATGTCAACAGGAAAAAGAAAGTATTAAAGGAAATTTTAAATAACAAAAGTTAGGAAGAGAAACTGCTTATTTTTTCTAGTTCAAACAAACTTCAGTAGATTAACTGTTACTTGATTCCCATACCAAGGTTGTCTTATCAGCTGAAAGAACAGCATGTTGCCACTCCGTCATAGCCGTATCTGGTGGACACATGGGACTATGACAAACTGATCTGAAGGTAATTTCTCTGACTTGACCATCATATTCATTAGCAGCATGCCATGGGCCCAACTGTGTGACACAATAAAGATAGTTACAAACAATGCAGTTGGTGAACATCATGTTGAACAAACTTTGTCCCGTACATATACTAGAAACTTCAATCTTCACACGTCAATCCTAATTAAGATGCAAGTAAATAAGAATATAACAATATTTACATGGAAGAATAAACAAGCAGCAGCATAAGTTCTACATAGCTGCAATTTATTGACATTCTTAAATGTGATGATTTAGCATTACGAAATAGGTGCTGGTAAATATGTTACAAGTTCACAACATATTCTGGCATTTCTTATGCACATTATACATGAATTTTTTTTTAATTCATGTCAACCTAACCAATCACTATCAGTCAGAAATAGAATTATCTTCATATATCCAATGGAGGGCAATGCTGCACAGACAATGCTTACATTGAGATTTGAATCCTTCCTTGCTGATCGATACTCGGCAATAAATTTTGAATCATCACTCAATAATTCAGTAAAGAACTGTTCGGCTTTACAAGGGAATATCCCCTAGGAAAAGGTGACAAAAAAATTAGTTGAAAACCGATGAAATTGCAGGAATCTACTATATGCAGTGCAAGTAGGTTTGCATTCATACATTATATATCCCAACCAGAACTTCTTCTTTAACAAAATCTTGGAAGTTTCCCGTCTGAACAAGATCTTCTTTTGGAATTTGTATCTGGTTTTTACTACTGCCGGTGGAGCCAACTCTAATGGAGCTACTATGTGCACGCAATGCTGACTGCGCCCTCTCCTGTATTTAAAAAAAAAGTAAGGACATAAATCTTGGCCAGTTCCAAGTCCCAATGCTTTCTGCAAGACTACGAGAACATGTTGAATTTGACTTAAGAGCGCAGTGTAGGGAAAACATGAGCAATATCATTACATTTGTACACAAATGTATATGTGCTTGACCACGCATATATACATTGATATACACATCAAGGAGCCCATATGAATAGAAAATTAACATATACAATCCATTCATTAAATGGTTTTACTCTAATTTCACTTTGCAGTGATTGGGAGGAACAGGTTGGAAGTCATTAAAAAACATTTTTTATCCATATGCCTCTAATAATAAATCAGGATGAATGGTAGGGATCACCTATAGACCTAATTTGTATTATGTAGGTGTGAACAAACTTTTTCAGATTCCTTGAACAATTTTGGCTTACCCAAAATACCAAACATGTGTTATGCCTGTATCTGTTCCTCTGCCTGTGTTAACTGTAAAACACAGTCCTCCAGCTTTGAGGATGCATTCCAAGAGGGAAAACGATAAACTGGTTTAATACTGGATGGTCTTCACTTGTAGATCAGACAAACATTATCTATCTGTAAGATCTAACTCCCCAAACCATAACCAATTAATTTAAATGCATTCGAAGATGAATTAGTTGGTGCCTCAAACTTGAATGCACATATAATTGAAAATAGTGATAGCTGTACTAGATGAGTTATAATACTCTTGTACTACCACACACAAAAAAGTGGGACCTTTCCAGTAAATTGCAAGGAGAAACTATGAGTTGTCATGGACCCCACTCTTTGTGTAGTACTACAACTCTTATAGTACACTTAGCATTTCCCAATTGAAAATTATGACTCAGAAGGATATACAAGCTCCGAAAAGGAGAAGGGGAAAGGGCACACATACTGTAGCTCGAAGAGCCTACATTGCTTAAACCCTAGACTTACAAGGAATAGCATACAACATCTTAATCACTGCTACTAACTGCACTATGTTGACCGTGGCAGGAGCAAGAAAAGATAAAAAGCATCACTAGCAGCAGAACAACTGCATGAATTCCCTGTATAAATGAAAGATACAATGATAACTTCAGAGCAATGCTAATGTCCTTTTGACAATTATGCATAAATTACTTCAATTCATGTGCGCAGAGAAGAAACACATATCCATGCATGGACACACACATGTGCATGTGTACACACTTGCATCTAAATATATATACACACATTTATATGCAAACATTCGAAAAGTTGTAAAATAAAGGCTTACGACCAAGGAACTATCATTTTCCAAAGAACAATGAAAGCGAACTACTTTAACTAAACAACATAATCATAATTCAAATTATGTTAGAGAGACGAGGTTTAGGGAGAAGATCTCAAGTCTAGTATAAATGTTGTAAGCAGTTGCACAAATAAGCTTAGAAAAAAAGAGTAAATGCTAACTAAAACATCAGATGAGCCATTGAGCCCACTGAAACAACTAATCATTAGTTTTGTTTGTTTCTTGGGTCGCCAAGTGGCGACCCAAACAGAGATTTACTAAGAATCTGTTCAGGAACTGGATCAAAGCTTAAGTTAAGTTATGGCGGCCATGGGTGGGGGTGGATGGATTTAGTCAACAGTTTCATTGGATCTTAGATATAAGAAATAGATCATACGATCTGTCGGGGATTGTCAACAGTGGATCTTAGATATAAAAAATAGATTCACTATGTTGAGTTAAGTTCGGTCAACCACGTTCAACCTAAGTCCACAGGGCATAATATGAGAAATCCACTATGTAGAGGGATTGAGGAAGAACCTTACAAGAGGAATCCACTCATCTCCTGTCTCTCAATCTCTAGGATACAAATTCCTTATTATGATGGAAACTCTATCTCCTAATCATGATAGGCCTCTAATCCTATCCAACTACATGAAGTTTACAAAGAATCAAAGACAATCCAAGGCACGAGTCACTACCCGTTTCTAAGCTTAAATTCTGAAAATAAGTATAGCAGAAAGTAAAAGACACAAACTAGTACTAGTTAAAGTGATAACCAACTTTATTTTAAGAGAAAACTTCATAACTTGACAAATATACTGAATTTATATCAAGGCCCAGCCGAGAAACATGTTTCTCACCCCTAGTTCAATTCAATCTTTCAAACCAATTATCTTAGAGAACAACTGCAAATAGTTACCATAAAATTTTTCTCATTTACATTGCATGATAAAAATCAAGACCTCGGGAAAAGAAGGAAAAGCTAATTACATGAGCCTAACATGAATGAAAGGTGAATAAGGTTCATGTAGAGAATAAATTTAAAACAACATAAAAAAGGTGGGAATGTCTTGTTAATGCAAAAGTTGGTAACAGTCATCTGCAGGCAAGTAGATAACAACACTGCAAGTCCTCAACACAGCAAATGCTTCAGTAAATATAAACTACCAAAAAAAAAGTAAATGCTTCAGTAAATATAAGCTATAAAAAAAAGTATATATGGTGAGATCTGTTGTCTTGTTAAGCCCATAACCATAAAAGTACATGTATCATAAGCAAAGTACACTCTATTAAAACATACAAACACTTACCTTTTTTTCGGCTTCAAGCATTGCATGGAAGTTCTTTGCTGCACGCTGCAAAGCCCTCAGTGTGTGGTTTCTGTTCCAAAATGATGCAAACTTGTATCTGACTCTCCCTGAATTTGGAGAAAAAAAATACCCGAAAGTACCAAAATCTTAGATGCTTATCACACAATAGATATAAAAGGTGAAAGAAAGAAAGGAAGTTCTTTAGTTTGAATGTTACCAAGATCATATATTACACGTAGTATCTTCAATTTGTACTACATATTAAAAAAGGATGCAGAAGGGAAAGTTAAACCATGAAACAACTAAGTTTGTGGCCTAACACATACCCTGTTTAGATAACATATGTGCTACATGACTGTCTGCATATAACTGATTTATTCACTGTAGTACTCCGATCATAAATGTTTCAAACAAGGTTAGGGAATGCTGGTACTGTTGCCAGCAACTATTCCATGGCAGTTTCCTTTCGGGGAGTTGTCAGTATATTTATTATCTTAGATATCAAAGTTCTACTACTCTAACCATTAGGGATTAGGGGCTGGATGTAATTTAGTACAAATGTCACGCAGGGAAGTCATATAATTAACGGTAGCATATATAGTGATCAGCAAGGTTATCGATAGCGGATAGCGTCGCGTAGCGGTGAGGCATTGCTAAGCTATTTCGGGCTATTGCGACAAAATAGCGGTAAAAAGCGCAAAGTCAAATAGCGGTCTAATTTAGATATGTATAAATACTAAAAAAAAAAAAGAAAAATCTAAGAAATCTAGAAGTACATATTGGATGATTTAAAGAGATCCTAAATATGAAATAGACATGTAACCATCACGTAATACCGAAGATGACTGTAGGAGTCAAAAAGTCGTCGTCTTCGAGAAGAAGAGCTTAGCGCTGACAGGACTGCCCTAAGAGGAGCTCACGGTGAACGAGGTGAGAGAAAGTATCAATGTACGTGCCAGAGGCTATGAGAGGTGACGGGAGTATGCTGAAAATCACAGGAGACGGTGGAATGCAATGGTCAAGGGTTGGGTTTAATTTTTAAAAAATAAGCCTCAAACCGCTTTTAAATAGCAGTCAAAAAGCAAATTTCGAATGCAATCGCTCACTATTTACCGTTATGACACACTATTGACTGCTTTTGCGAACAGACATATTCCGTAATATGTCACCGCTATTGCGCGATAGCGTAACGGGCAATAGCGTCGCGGGAAGGGACCGCTAACGCTATTAGCGCCGCTATTGCGGAGCTATTTACCGCTATTTATAACAGTGGTGATCAGTAACTATGAGTTAAAGAGACTTGCACAAAACCTACATCAGCTCACATTTACTCCAATAAGTATAATTATTCATGGTCATCTAACAAATAGCCACGATCTAGTGGTATTTTCTAAACTTCGCTAGTTCTCTAAAGCGACACCTGATAACCATTCAGCATGTCTAATTAAACAGATTTCTGGCACTATTGTACCATTTTTCCCATCAACAACTTTTAGTAAGTACCTAACTTAGGCAAAACCAGATGCATCAGAGTCCAAAAACCTAAATGAAATTCAAACCTCTGAAATCCACTATAAAACCCTGGTTCCTGCATTCCCACTGCATAAACACTTGTACTTAGTATAGCTAATGAAGAGCTAAATTTGCAGACCTTGCTCTTGAAGGGTGAGAATCACCCTAATCACATGTGATCTATCCATGCATGAAGTTGCTCATAAAATCACTGGTTTAAATTTGTCATAAAATTGGAATATAGCCAATGATGCAATCAATAAATCATGTAGATATAATTTGATTTCTTTTATAATATAGTTTATGTCTAGTAGTTACATCTACAGGCACAGGTTTTTTATTTGAAAGATAAATTGTTAAATTTGGGCGGGTAGCACTAGCATCTACACACTAGATACTAGTGACGATAGCCTATATTGCACACACAGTCCATGTCTTGATAACTTATTTAGCAAAGTAAGCTACCACCTCATCTCTTCCACACACACATGTGAATACAGATTAGCATATAAAAGATGGTAAGCCATATTGCCTTGAAGCCTGCTTTCTTATCTGTCAATCAATTTCCTTGATTGCAAGTTCCATAAACATTTCAGTAGCCAGATATCATCTGGTCTAACTTAAATCTGTTAGTGCCATATGAAGCTATCATACATATGCATAAAACTAATCTTTTCCAATTCTTCGATTTCTCCAGAATTGATGAACACTAGATTTACAACTAAACAGTAGTGTGTTACTGAAAATTGAGAGTATGAAACTTAGTAATTTGTGTCCAAGATAATTCAAACTTGTTCAGAGAACTTTTTAGCACAAACCACCAGATTAACTTCTCAAAAGAAAAGCGGGAAAAGATCTAATCTTGTGCACAAGGTTGGTAAGTTACTGACCATCTGGGCTACCCAAGGGAGGAACACCATGTCCACCAGCTCCCATGCGCAAAACAATAGTAATTGCAGGATTAATAAATGCATGTTGGCTTCTCTTTATCTGCATTGCTAAATTATAAAGACTCAATTTATTCATCTGTACATACATTTCATATACAATTAGTAGTTCAAAGAATAACATTAAAAGAAGACGACTTACCTCATGAATATCTCCAAAAGGAATGATAACCTACAACAAAAAAGTCATTAGAACAGCAACTTATTCATGACTAATGTATAAAACTTGAAGTACTTCTATTACTTGTCCATGATGGAGATTGGAAAATATGATTCCCAACTAAATCAAAACCCAGAAATTGGAAAGAGGAAATCATATCAAGAAAGCAAACAAAAGCATAAAAGATACAAGCGAAAAAAAAGTACACGCATAACTCTCCCATGTAATACAATTAGAAGATATTCTCAATGTTAAACATATCCAGCACAAATTGCAGAATAACAAAATTAATTTGCAAATTCCATTGGACAATCATTTTCCTTGTATTTTACACTTACACAATGCTCACAAAACATTTAGTTAAAATAACTTAATAATGAAACATGAGAAAACTCAGCTACATTACAAACAATTAATCCAATTTAAAATTTTGGTCTTAACAAAGTCTTAATTCCATCATAAGAAAACATGAGATTCCATCTGTCTCATTAACAGAAACATACTCAGATAATGTCAACATACATCTTTGTTACCAGCCGCATGTGAATTAACAATATATTGTCGAAAAGGTCAAATCTAATTCAGATAATGATGGAATATAGACAAGGAATTAAAACAACCAACCTATATAAGTTTTGAAGTTTTAATACTTCCCAGGCTACTTTAAGGAATATAGACAAGGAATTAAAACAACCAACCTATATAAGTTTTGAAGTTTTAATACTTCCCAGGCTACTTTAAGGGGACAAAATGATTCATGTAGAAATAATTCATTAGTATCAGCTAACCTTTATTTGTTTAGAAAATACGTTGGAGTGGAAGCAAATATGCCATGCAGAAACATACATACGTCCATGGTACAGGAACGACCTCTCAAGCGCACATGAGTAACTGTGGTCCAGAACCTGAAACATATAACCTCTTAATAGAGTAGAAACTACAAATATACAGTTAATGACCTTCCAATAATGAAATCAAAATGGCCTTGCCTCATCAGGAAGAAGGTCAAATATAGTTTGCAGGGGACCAGGTTTTTGATGAACAATTGTAGGCCCTTGTTTATCTGAAGAGATACGTCTTCGAGCATTAGCTCCAGCTAATCCATTCATTGCCCTACAAATGATAAACAGTTAAAATCAAACTACATTAGTGCATTAGAGTGCGTCTAGTAGCAACAAAATACATTTTAAACTTAGCATATAATACAAAATTACAAACTAACAAATGTAGAGAGATAAATAAGAAACTTAATGTGATACTAATTTGAGCAGATTGGCTTTTAAACAATGTCAAACGAAAGGTTACAGCCAGAGAATTGCTTCATCTATCCTCATTCAAGCGGCTATCCAGATAGAAAAATAATAATTGACAATATAGATGTAACAAGAACCAATCATCCGGCAAACCAGAAAGAATGCCCCAATCGACAATACTATCAGTAAATCTTGGATGTGGTTAACTTCTAGGTCTGCACAAAATTTAGAGGGTTTTCCAGATATCTTATTCCATCAGTTTTTTCCTGAGAAGAGAATAAACACACTAATGTTTTAAATTTCAACCAAATTAATTGCTGGAAAGCAGCAAGGGCATAAGAAAAGATCATCAAGACAACACAGTAGAAGAAGAATGACAAACAGAAAATACAATAATCTTATACACAGCAAAGTCTTCTGAGAAGTTATCTGCTTCTCCCGTTAAGAATACAGGAACTGCTCCATATAAGGGGTTTGAATGCATTTTCAGGAAAAAATGCTTTGCGTGTGTATGTCTGTGCCTTTATTGTGCTGGTCTGACTGTCCTTTTCCCGAGTTTCCATGTATTTTTTACGAAGATAACTTTCATTAACAAAAGCCAAAATTCACTCGAAGTTTCTAATAATTGCTTCTACAAAAATAGCACAAATAAAGTTCATGCACCAATCAAGCAATGCTAACAATTCCAAAATCAAATCATCATATAATTTACAATTGACAATAGCAATATCACTTACAATACAACTGAACCAATATGCTTATGAATAACGGTTAACTCATTTGATGCAATTACACTATTGGCAATGAAAACTAGTGAGCAAAGGAACTTGTTCATATAGGAACCTCTGTAGCAAGGAGAAATACAGGTTCTCGAGACTACAGGGATACAACTGCAATTGGGCATGTAAATTGTTCTTGGTAATACAGGAATGTTGAAAGATAACGTGTAAATTAAGTGGATAGTGTAAAAAGATTTGCTCATGCAGCAAGTCTAGAATATGCTTGTTACCAATAAGGTTGCGTTCCTTAACTACCTCGTTAACTGCATGTCTTGACATATATGTACAGTCTTGACATACAGGGGTGGATCCAAGTACATGGGTAGGCGTGCAGTTGCACCCCTAGAAACTTATAAATTGCAAGTAAGCCTTTGTAGTACTTACAACCTGCCCCATATAAATGTTAAAAACTGCACCCCAAACTATCTACAAACAATAAACAAGTTAGTAGCAAATTGATCTAGCCCATTGAAAAATAAAATCCCATTTAACTTCAAATAATTAAATGAAATTACAAGCAAAGTATAATGCAATGGAACTGATAAAGCATACTGAGTGCATTTCATCAGATTTTATAATTTTATAATAATATATTTTATGTTTTAAATAAATAGATGATTGTTGTCAACGCTAAGAAATTTTTTATGTATCCGCCACTATTGACATATCTTGTAATGACCCTAGTTTTTAACTTGATAATAATTATGTCATTTTAGAAATTAGTTATATCGGATTATAAATATTAAATTACAGAGGACTTTTATGCAAAGGAAATATTAACTATTAGTAACATATTGATATAAGTTTCATAAGGGGCATATTGCAAATGGAATTTTATTAAGAAGTTTATTGGAAAACAAGATCTAACAATAGAAAAGAAAACCTAGTAGTGTTCCTATAAGGTATTACGTCTATCTATAGAAATAAATTTCTACCTCTAGCAATTTTTTTTCTTCTAGATAGATGTTATGCAACAAATTTTATATTAGTTTATTTGCATCTTGCTCTAAGTGCCAGGCCTTGTTGTCTCTGGCCATGGATGATTTTTTCCCTAGACCAGCGTTAGATCTGTTCATATCCTCTTTGACTGGGTTTTTTCGTAAAATAAATTACGGCATAATGTATTAAGAGCTTAGTTTTTTTGGTTAGAGGCACAGATCATTGCTTGCTATGCAAAACCAGTAAAGTAGAGAAAGCAATTAATGTACTAGGTTGGTGGAAGATATAAAATGATGAATGAATTAGTAGGTGCCAATATAGCAACTGATTAGTAGGATGATTGTTTTTTTTTTTCCTTCAAGGGGTTCCTAGAGGCTCTACAGAGGTGCACCACAAAAATTTGAATTTATTGTGGTATTCGATAAGTGGTGAGTTTATGCATCATGAGTTAAGTAGTTTTCATTGAAAATTATATTATATATGTGGATTTGTTCCATGATCTATTTTATCATTTATATGATTAGGTCAAGTATCTACTATCAAACTGTTGATTTAATTGTGTTTTGAAGTTGGACACAATTTTCAAGTATAAGTTCATACTTCGTTTTCCCTGGTGAGAATCATGTATTTTTTCATATAGTAGTAAGTTGAGATGCATAAGTCATTGATTTTCATTATTGGTTTGCATTTAGCAATTTCTATTACAAAGTAGTTGGCTATATGAACTTTGTTCATTTGTTGAAAACCTATACAGCTCAATGTCAATATACCAATATATGTCAGGATAAGCAAGTCATCTAAATTGGGCTCAACATGCCTTTATGAGGTTTTATTTTAGCGCTAAGCCAAAAATTTTGAGTGTCAATATCCTATTATATTGGGATTAATAAAAGTTGGAATTTTGTGTCAATCGGGATATTAAGTGTTGACTGTGCATTGGGACGTATATTTAAAGAAAAAAAATTGCATTAAGTATGAGAGTTCATTAATGATTTTCTATTGTTTTAATATTTTGCTTTATGAAGTCAAAATATTTTAGTTTCTACAAAAATCAGTGTTTAATGTATAGATTTATCCACTTGTAGATTTGTGAACTCGCTATGTTTTTTACCTTTTTCAGAAACTCAATATTAGGTGGAGTCAGAGAGACTTAAATATGTTCATGAAGAATTGAGGAAGTTAACTAATCTTTGATTAATTGCAGATTGTTGGTTTTAGATGAAGGTAAAACAAACAATTCGACGTTTAGTAGACTTTTGGAAGATTATGAAGTAATAAGGTTTTCTCTTTTGGGTTGAATCCTGTTTAAAGTTGGGAGAACTTTTATTTATCTCATTTGATTGGAGTAATGTGGACTTTTGTTTATGGAGGATACTTGTTATTTGATGACGAGATAAATTTGGTGGTTATTTGATAACATATATTTTGGAGTATTTTGCTAGCAGGTTTAGTCTGGCTCTAACATTCCTTTGAGGTTGGAAATCAGGGTCATGACATAAATGTCAGATTATTGTTGTCACATATTTAATTTTTTTCACATATATGTTCATCTGGGAATGTACATATTTAAGTCTTGACATATATGTTTGTTTATGAACATCATATAAACAAAATCATTGTTAGAGCCAGACTAAATATGGTTGGATTATTGATGTCTCCCATTATCTGCTTGCTAATTAGAGGTTAATTACCCTCACATTGGATATGCTAAGGCACCTTATTAGTCTGATCTTAAACCACAGACTATTTCAGAATTATTTCGATAATGACATACAGACGGGCTTTAAAATTTTGAGGCAGAAGCAATGGGCAAAGACATCAGATTTTACCCAAAATCCTAACTGGCTCCCTATCTTATTTCAATCTCATTCAATTATTGATTATCAAAGGTTTTGTAAAAGCACAAGAGGATTTATCTTTAGCAGATACAACTCTAACACCAACAGAAAGAAGTAGGAACCCCAATACATATCGACAGCCCTCACCCAAATTTCTGTGAAATAAAACTATTAAGATCTCAAGGGTTGGTTTCCCAGGAGAGTTAAAACGCTACGAGCCTTAGTTTAACCACTAATTCATTAGCAACCAGAGGTCAAGGAGCAGAAACCTAGATAAATATTACTCTTGATCTAGGTGACCAGGCTCAGAATGATAGAATCAAGCTTGAGTCCTCTACAACCAACTCATGAATCCTGAATGACATCTATAATTGTTCTTTTCAGAAAGTATACACAATAAAGCTTCACTGAGGCAGTGTTTTCAATTCTAGAAATTAAGAGAGGTCTACTTTACAAGAAGATCAAAAAATTAGATAACTAAATAAAAATATGCAAGTGAGAAATAACCTGGAATTCCCAATCATCTTTGTGGTCCTAATATGTAGACAAACCTGAAAAATAAAGAAAAAAACACAGCCTTAATAAACTGTAATATTTATCCAAGCATATGAAGCTCAGGCTTGCCACGCAAACATTTTACCTGGCCTGATGTGCTATCTAGGGCATACCAGACGGCTCCAGTTTGGCATTCACTCTCAACTGGCACAGTTACAGATCCAAGAACATTGCTTTTCCATATTATATCCCAGTCATATATTGTAACATTAATCTAGCAGATCAGTAGATTACCAAATATGAGAAAACATTACTAAAAAAAGTAAGAAGCTAAATAACATTAATCATTTCCTGGCATGCAATTACATATGAACAGAGGGCAAAATATAAACAGATATATGTGCAGTAGCATATTGTTACATTGTACAACAAATAAAGTGGACGGTGTGTTTCCCAACATAAATAAATAAATAAAGTGGACAGTGCATGTAATGAATACAATGCAGAACAGCAAAAGTAACAAATATAGCAAATAACATTTCAGATATATGATTATAACATAATAAGATCAAACTGATAAATATGATAAACATAGGCAAGACATTCCTGGTGATCTCAAAATGTCATCTTAGTATCCAAAGAAATATTTGCAAAGTTGAGATAAACGGGAACCTGAGATAACCTGGACAGGAAGATCATCGACAAAAAAATTGAATTCCTCTCCCCACATTGGATTTCTTGAACCAGGAACCATGGAACTGCGTCATGGTAAAAGGGAAATAACTTCAAGGCACAATCACCAAGATAAAAGTTTCAGCAATGAAATATGCTGACAAATTCTAACTACAATAGAAAGTATTATATGCATGAGGAATGATGCTTGAATTTTCCATAGAGGGACATCAAAATAATAACATACAACCAATTCAGTTGGGATGAAATACAAATAAGAAATATAATCAATAAAGTTCCCATCTCAGCCTACTTGTACTCTTTTATGCATATGTTTCTAGATAGTTTTGTGGCTTCTGGGCAGTAGAAAAGGGCAGTCTTGGAAGGTTTGACATAATAACTTCAGATAAAGTTCAAGAACCACATAACTTTACAGGTAAACTGATACTATATAAAATGTGAGTTAAAAGTCGACAAAGCCCCATGTAAAGAAGACAGTTCACTCACCTAAATCGTTTCTGTTCCCCGCAAGTAATTATTGCATAAGGATCAGATGTGCCGTTCAAATTTGCACCAACTAAGTTCTTGGCAGCAAGTAGTTCTAACTGAAATTTCAAAACAAAACAAATATAAATATCACTGTAATACCTGTATTTTCCAATAATATGCAAAGAAGTTTCAGCAATAACTTTTAAGTCCATTTTAGCAATAACATAACTATTAACAATAATATGCAAAGAAGTTTCAGCAATAACTTTTAAGTCCATTTTAGCAATAACATAACTATTAACTTGTGGTTTTCTCACCCTGCTAAGATGGTATAAAATGTTCAAATGTGACGAACACAAAAGCATATCCAACAAGGCCATACCTTAATTAAATATCCAAATTTCCCTTGAGATTCACCTTTAACTTGGCTCATCTACAAAATAAGTGGACGACTGCATGTCAAAAAATGGAAGAATTATTTTATGATGATGCAGATATATGCATGGCAATCAACTAAGTCCAAAGAGAATAAAGGCTTCTAGTGACATTCCTTAGAGAAAATAAAAGAAAAGTAGGATGGAAACCAAATATCAAAGAATTATGCATCATGCCAATCACAGTAATACATAGAATGCATCTGAACCGCATAACATATGTCAAATCATACTGGAGATCATGATTAAAAGACACTGTAAAACTGGTTCCAATGAGCTGTTGTTTGTAAATGCAATAACATAGGATTCCAAAAGAAAAGACAGAGACAACAGGTACTTACAGAAGACCTTACCATAATACACAAGGACAAACAAAAAACTTTCTGACTGATCGACAAAAAGCATACTGAGACCTTATGGTTATAAAAAATACAAAACAAATTCAAGCTACGAAGGGCAAGAATGCATTAATGAAAGAACAACCTGAGATGCTTTTATTGCCAAACTGTATACAGACAACGGAAAGAGACACGTTGAGCAGTGAGCACCAACCTCATGAGTTTGGACTTTGAGCTAATGTCTGCTATGCAGCACACTAGTTATTTAAGTTAATGCTTGTTCTGGATAGGACTTCAACAACATTGTTCTGAGTCCAGAGCTACGGAAATGTAGTTATTGTTACAACGCCTCGGTTTACGAGATAAAAGACAAAAGGCCCTAATAGCTTGTGATTTGGTCCTATATCTCCTCATTCCTTGATAGAATCACTTGCATCTAATTTCTTTTTGTTAGCACCATTAGCATCTAATTCGGACTTTTTAAAGCATGTGCAACAGAGTACTTAACAGCTTAATTTAAGATCTTTCTGCACCTATTTTGTTTATTTGTAATCTTTGGTTGTGACAATGTGTCAAGTACTTATTTACAAAATATATGCTTCTAGTTACCAGTGTTAGAAAGAAAAACTTGTGTGTGCGCGTAGGAAACACTGTTATAGGTTACACAACAGCTCCCAGTCTGGGTGGCCATTTGCACCAACTAGTTTTTCACTTAGCGGGTTGGATACTGCATCTAACTAATTTAACTAAAATAATACCTCAAAACGAATAAAGTTCAGCAATGACACACTAGTTTCGATCATCTTCTTGGCCCCTCTTGTTAACCCTATAATTAAAGTGGTGATTCCGACGAAAGCCGTGTGAAGAAGAAACTAATTGTATGGATCAAATTTCCTAATTATCTTTTCTATGTGCTGCTATAATCACCTCATCATTGTTCCTTATACCGTATTTCCATTGTAACACCTTTTTTTCCACCTAGCCACCTAAATTTGAGAATATGCCTAAGCACCACCTTAGCCATTAAGGTTTAGTCCAGAAATTAAAATGAAATGTTGTAAACTATGGGTACATAACTTAAGGGAAGAGTTTTCCGTACAATGGTTTCACAAAATTTGCTCAAAGTAGGGTTTATCGAGCCATGTTTTATTGATCTTGAGGTCTCAAAACCATGGTCCCAACCAAAGCAAAATTCAATTTTTGTGGTTAGTCCAAACCACGTGACAGCTTGTCAGAATATATGCAATGTAGGAGGCTTAAAGTTAATTAATTGTTTAAATCAAGGCAGGAAATGTCTATGCAAGGGTACTCTTGTAATATATGCAATGTGGGAGACGGGAGTTAAAGTAAGAGTTGATGTTTCCCTTAAAAAAAAAGAGTTGATGTTGTCAACCAAGGTTGGTTAAAAGGTCAATTTAGAAAAATAAATAGTAATAATTCTTGACAGGAACTTTTGACAAGTATTCTATCGCGTTTAATTAAGTTTGACAAATCTGGAAATGTCCTTTCATCGGAGACGTAGTTGCAACTTGAAGATATTTGGGTGAAAATTAGGGTTAGTTTCTCTCATTGAGAGACCCCTCTTTTATATTAATGCATTCTTACAACTAGGTCCTTACAATATTGACTAATTCACTTAGTGTCTAACTAACTCAACACTCCCCCTCAAGATGGGCGATAGATATCAATCATCCCCATCTTGTTACAAAAGATATCATACTCTCTAGAACCTAATCCTTTTGTTAAACAATCAGCTAACTGCTCTTCTGATTTCACATAGCTCAAAGTCAGAACTCCTCTATTCAGTTGCTCCTTGATAAAGAACCGATCAATCTCCACATGTTTGGTGCGATCATGCTGAACTGGATTGTTTGCAATATTAATCGCCGATTTGTTGTCACACCAAAGTTGTAAGGACTCTCTTCTAAACAAGCGCAGCTCAGATAATATGTTTTTTACCCACATCAACTCGCACAGACTAACTGTCATAGCTCTGTACTCGGCCTCAGCTGTAGACCTAGCCACCACATCTTGCTTCTTGCTACGCCAAGATATGAGATTGCCTCCAACAAATACACAATAGCCTGTAGTGGATCTACGATCATCCATACAACCCGCCCAATTAGCATCACAATAGCCTTCAATTCTCAGATATCCAAAACTTCTAAACCATAACCCCTTTCCTGGGCTTCCTTTAATATATCTAAGAATTCTGCGAACTGCCTCCATATGCTGCTCTCTGGGATCATGCATATATCTACTCACCACAATATATAAGTCGTCCAACTAATCTTTGATATTGCTCTTTACTCACCGGGTCACCACCCTCGGCACACATTTTATGATTCTGCTCAATAGGAGTAGATGCAACTCTGCACCCCAACATCCCTGTCTCTGAGAGAAGATCCAGATCATACTTCCGCTGAGCAAGCACTATACCCTTTCGCGACCTTGCAATTTCAATTCCGAGAAAGTACTTCAACTGCCCCAGATCTTTAACTTCAAATTCCTCTCCCAATTTCTTCTTCAACAGTAGGATTTCCTCAGCGTCATCTCCAGTGATTACAATATCATCAACATAGACCGTCAGGATAGTGATACGAGTTTTGGAGTGCCTGTAAAACACAGTATGATCACCATTGCACTGCTTGTACCCCATACCACAAACTGCCAGCCTGAATCTATCAAACCATGCCCTCGGAGACTGTTTTAACCCATACAAAGACTTCTTCAACTTGCACACCTTCCCAGCTACTTGAGAAGTAGTGAAGCCTGGTGGAATCTCCATATATACCTCCTCTTGAAGATCTCCATGCAAAAAGGCATTCTTGACATCTAGCTGATGTAGTGGCCAATTAAAGTTGGCAGCACATGACACCAACACTCTAACAGTACTCATCTTTGCTACTGGAGCAAATGTCTCGTCATAGTCAATGTCGTATGTTTGGCTGTAGCCTTTAGCAACCAATCTGGCCTTGTATCTGTCGATCTTGCCCTCTGGAGTTTGCTTAACCGTATACACCCACTTACATCCAACAGCACGCTTCCCAGCTGGCAAAGGTACCAACTCCCATGTGTCATTCTTCTTCAAGGCCTGGAGTTCCTCGTGCATGGCATTCAACCACCTAGGATCTTGCTTAGCTACCTGCCAGTTGTTAGGTACAGGCACTGAATGCAACGATGCAATGAATGACTTATATGCAGGTGGAATGGATGCATATGAAATATAATTCGCAATATCAGTATCCCAATTACCAAACTTAGCTGGAGGTTTTCCAGCATTGACTCTAGAGGTTGTGCGGGGCAAGACAGGAGTACCAGAGGTATCAGGGAAGGAATCGTTACCTATCGACTCAGGTGGAGGAGAAGAGCAAGGCACTGGAGAGGAAGAGGAAGGCACTGGAGAGGAGGGACTTGGGTCATCAACATTTGTGGGTACTGACACAGGCACGGGAGGCGGCTCATGCTGCTGTTTCTGTCTCCTCGTGTATACTCTCAGCTCCCCCTGACTTTGACTACCAACTCCTAAGTCACCACCACTACTCGGCGATGTACCATCACTACTCGGTGACTCAAGAGGACATGGAATCATCCCGACCACAATATCATTCTCATTCTCATTCTCCCCCTCTCTACTAGCATCAGTAGAGCCATCTCCAAACAAGGAACTCAACTCCGTCTTCTCCCCATAAAAAGGTTCAAGCTCCCGAAAAGTCACATCCATACTGACAAACAGCCTTCTTTCAGTGGGACACCAACACTTGTATCCTTTTTAACTTGATGAGTAGCCAACAAAGATACATTTAACTGCTTGCGGATCCAGTTTATTCACCATCAACCTGTGATCTCTCACATAACATGTGCATCCAAACACTCTTAGTGAACAACAAAAACATTCGAGCCCAAAAGCATCTCACATGGTGTCTTCATCCCTAATACTCTTGATGGCATCCTGTTGATCAAATAAGCTGTTGTCATAACAGCCTCACTCCATAAAAACTTAGGCACATTCATTGTCAACATCAATGAGCATGCCACTTCCAGTAGGTGCCTGTTCTTACACTCAGTCATCCCATTCTGAGCAGGGGTGTCTGGGCAGGTGGTTTGATGAACAATTCCCTAATCAGAGTTGAAAGCTGCAAACTCCTTATTGATATACTCAGTCCCATTATCTGTTCAAAGAATCTTCACCCGCACTCCAAACTGTGACTTCACATAAGCCGAGAAATCTTGAAAACATTTGTAAACCTCTGATTTCTGCTTCATCATGTATATCCAGGTCATACGTGAATAACAATCAATGAAAGTAACAAACCATCTAAAACCACTGATAGATGTAGTAGGACATGATCCCCAAACATCAGAATGGACAAGTGCAAATGGTTCACAACTTCGAAGACCAATCATTCTATAAGTAGAACGAGTATGTTTTCCAAGTTCACATGCATTACAAAATAACTCTTTTCTATCCACTTTCTTCATTAACTCAGGTTCTAATCTATTTAAACTCTCAAAAGATAAATGTCCTAACCGGCAATGTTGAAGCATCGCTTCTGCCTCTGGCCCTCCGCTAACAGCAGCAGCAATCATTGCTGTCTCCTTGTCCAAATACCAAAGACCATCACGTCTGATACCACTCCCAATCCTCCTCTCCGTTTCCT